CCTGCGCGCCGTCGGCGCTCCGCGCACCTGGCGGAGCCGGGCCTGGCGTGGGCGCCTCACCTGGGCACCTGCTGGCCCGGCCCCGACAGGGCCTCCCCGCCCAAGTCCTGGGAAGGGCTGGAGGACCGAGGGTGTAGGGCTGGGGAGAAAGAACGTTTGGAGTCAGGATTGCTTAGTGAAAATATGGCTTTGGCTGCTTCTGCTCTGGCAAAGTAGAACGCATTATTTGCCAGATTCAGAAAGCATGGTGCTTTCCACAGCGACTTAACAAGCTTGCTGTGGAAAGAAATGGGAGTAGGAAATAAAGCGTATTTATCAAGTAACTAGCAATAGTTCTGAAGATTTTGCAAAATAAAAATTCGTGCTCCCCCCCAACCGGGTAGAATTAGATAGCCATCTAGTTTTGTAATTGCATAATTAGGTATAGTAACAATTTAAGTAACTGTACCACATACAACGTAGTTCCTTAATTCTTGCAAACATCTCAAGTGGCTATACTTTCATCCAAATTTTTTCAGATTTTTGAGTTTAAACCTGTGCTGATGGGTACTGAACCTCAACGTTTTTGTGGAAGTCAGGTGGCAAAGCAAATATAGTAAACAGTGGATGTGGAGAGGGGAAACAATTACCTCTAAATACTGCTGTTTCTAAAAGTCAGTCCCCAACAGTTCATGCTTTAAAGGATCATTATCCCAGAACAGATATAAGAACTAAGGCTGGCATTAGAAGGGTTAAGAAACAAAAAGGAAAGGATAAACAGAGGCCAAAGATGACTCTTTATTGCTTGAGTTTTTTAAGTTCAGGGCACAGCCAGCTAATTTTGTAATGTTTATTTTGGGAAAGAATAGGAGGAGCTGGGGTTCTAGGCCACTTTCCTAATGATCAGACCAGGACACATTGCCACCTGCTGGTAGCGTGACGATTCTATCCTGAAAACACTGAATTGTTTTTCTACATGTCACTGGAAAGAGTTCCATCCATCTATGTACAATGACCAAAATGCAAACCTTATCCCCAAATTTGTATCTTTCTTACACGTACTAAATACGTATCTTTTTCTGCCCTGTCATAATTTTACAGCGGCCCCAATGACTCATCAAATCATGCATTTTAAAAAAGAGTTCCTATTTCCCTTAAAGAATGCCTCACTACTTGAGCTTCGGGAATAAAACAAACTGGGAACGTTTCCTGATTCGCCTTCTTTTCCTTGCATACAAAACCTCTTGGCAGACCGTTCTCAAGATCTCTCCAAAGTTAAACAGACCCAAAGTTCTAGCTGTGAGCAAAGGCCTTTGCTGTGGGAAAATTTCACAAGATGGTAAGCGAAGGATTTAATTAAGCCAGTTGTTATTCAGTCCAGAACTATTTTTTAAATAAGGAATCTCTGTATTCGCCTACAAAGCTCTTACGGTAAAAATGTCCCTGAAAGCTTCTTTACAGGTGTTGGTAGCTCTAGATTGTTCTAAAGGCTCTATCTGTACAATCCTGTCAGAAAGTCACAACACACTCTCCTGTCATTAGTTCTTTATCTAGAAAAGCAACAGTGGTGACCCAATTCACTGCACATGCTCTTTGAGGTTTTACAGTGGAGCTTATTCTAAACCACACTCTGGTCTTACCCATGTTTTCAATGAGTTTATTGAACACCTACTACTTAACACTGTTGTGGGCATTTGAAGTACAGTTCTGAAGAGAGCCAAAGGCCCGGTTTTCATGGAGCCCACTCAATATCATTTTCAAGCAACTACCCAAAAGAAATTAAGTTCTTCCTCTCTTGCCACAGTTTCCTATATATGAATTGCTGCTCCCAAAAGTAAAGAATATTAGTAATGGTTGATGACAAGCAGCAGGTAAGAGGTATTTCAAGAAGCCCGACCGGCATGGCTCAGCAGTTGAGCTTCAGCCTATGATCTAGCAGATTGAGGTTTGATTCTGGTCAGGGCACATGCCTGAGTTTCCCGCTCTATCCCTACTGGGAGTGCAGGAGGCAGCTGGTCAATGACTCATCATAAATGTTTCTCTCTCTTTCCCTCTCCCTTCCTCTCTCTGAAATCAATAAAGACATATTAAAAACGGGTATTTCACGGATACGTATAAACATTTTACAGGCCAAAAGACTTTTTAAACCTCATGGCAAAACCACAACAAAGATAAAAAGGCAGACTCTGGACTGATAAAAAGTTGTTTATTTTTATAAAACAATACAAATCTTATTGAAATACAAATCCTCTTGAGCAGTATTACTACACAGTAATCCAAATGCCAATGAGTACTTCGTTTTATCTGACTATACCATGTGTTAACTAGCCCTTCATTTACCTGTGATGTGAAAACTCAGCATCTTAACTGCTGGTCATCTTCATTTCACATTTTTCTCTCAGAGAGTTTCCTTCATAGTTATTAGTTACAACATCAAGAAAAACTTTAGGTTTCTCAAAATTCAAAAGAGCTACTTACATTCACGAGAGTACCCCAAAACAGCAAGATCTGCAATCCCCAATCCCTTTACTTGTGAGGAGAGCTGGTACCAGATTAAGCCTATTCACGAGTCTGGTATGGAACAGGTTGCACTGTGCCAAAATTTAAGAGCCAGCGTTTTTTTAAAGCTCACGCTCCAAGCCACTTTTTGCTAGGCTCTTGCTAAACTCAGCATTCCCCAGGATCCTACTTTGACCACAATTTTGTTGGAAAGAAATTAGCATTTTAGGGATTCTGAACATAGAAAAAAAGAGATGGAGATATTACTATTAGATTATTTCCGTGTCCAGCAAAACTCTTTAACCAAATGACAGTCATTTTAAAAAGATCCACTGTTAACATGCCTTTCAAGTTGCTTTTCCCAGAGCAATGATGACTTTATGTGGTTCCAACCACTCCGCCCTGCATGGCCAATGACATCCATTTCCAAGAACTCTCATAAGGTTAATATTACCAGTAACCTAGGATGAGCTGACACTGCCCACTGACCTTCAGCCTTTACTTCAATAGCCTTGTACACTTGTGTTCACCAACAAAGCTAGTCCATCACCACTGATCTAAGTAACATAAACAAATAGCAAAGACATAAATAATGCTTCATTTTTTCATAAAAGCCCTCCATTAAAGAAACACTACATGTCTCTATGAAATGCACAATGGGGTATTTCATTCATTCACAACAGGATTTACACTGAGGCAAAGAGTAAGTGACCTGCCTAAATGATTGGGCCAGTGAGTAGCAAAATCTGTAAAAGAACCCAGGAGTTCTTGATTCCAAACTTCCAGTCCTTAGGCTTACATTCTGGCTTTTCCTAGGTGAGATTACAGTGTATCTCACTGAATTTTTTTTCCTTTCTAGACTGGCCTTGTCATAATATTTTGTCCACAGATAGTGGTACCTTTTCCAGAGAAAAGAAAAAATAGTAAGAGGACTAAAAGGGAATGTATCCAAAATGAAAAAACTAGTCTCATTACCCTGAGGCCAATTCATACTTTCATCTTTGGTTCTAGTTTGCGGCAAGCAGAGCAGACCTGAAAACTCAGCTGCCATGTATCTCAAGCACAGTGGAGTCCACAAAGTAAATCCCTATAGAATTTAGTCACTGCCCCTCATGCCTAGGAGATTAATGCAGAAAAGCCCTGACAACTGGCATTTTTTTCCTGGTAGAGCAGAACCCATACAACAGGGCTTGGTAAGTTTGCCCACACCTCATTCATCTCTCACCCGAGCCCCAGCTCTGTGGTTTTTGTGCAGAAGAGTTAACATAACAGGCCTGAACTGCTGCCCGGGGAAAGGCTGGACCTTGGCTGGCAACTGGGAACACAGATTTGGGGAGGGCGCCAGCCATTAACTGCTCGGACTGTCTCACTGTGCCCCAGCTGTCTGTGCAAACAACATGGTTTCTGCTGAACACCTGCTTCCCTGCTGGGAGTCAGGAATTTTATTACACGCCAGGCAAAGGCTGCCTGCGTGACCAGCCCCCAATAAAAGCTGAGTCTCTAATGAGCCTCCTGGGTAGATACTCCGCACGAACTGTCACAAATCACTGTTGGAGGAGTTAGCACATCCCGTGTGGTCCCACTGAGAGAAGGCTTGGGGAGTCTGGGCCTGGGTTTCCCCTGGACTCTGCTGCTCCGGGAGCCTCTTCCTGTCACTGATCTTTGTGTCCTTGCACTGCAATAAATCAAAGCTATGAGTACAACTGCATGCTGAGTCCTGGGAGTCCTCTCAGTGAAGTACCAAACCTAATGGTGGTCTTGGGGACCCCAACATAGTTGGAATAGTGAGGCTAAATAAATAGCCCACCACCACTGCCAGCTTCACCCCCATCTTCTCTGTCTTCCTCCCTCCCTCCGTTTAAGCAGATCCAGTTCTGATTCAACGCTCAAAATTCCAAAGGCATGTATCTTCCTAAAAGTTACTCACTTTATAGTAAACGGCGTAAATTTATTTAAATTGCTGCATGGACAGCAAGGTGGTGTTTGTTGAAGTCGTCACCTCTCAAAGGAATAAGGAAGACCTAGCACTCCTCTTTTTCAAGTTCCTTTCTAAGCTGTCTGAGCATCAAGCTTCCCGGGAACACCACCCCCCAGAATCACCACAAACTAATAGGAATGCGGTTCTGATTCACTGAAACTACCACTTATTAGTCCGACTTCCTACCACTGTACCAGTGTAGAAATTAGTGTTTTAATGCTGGTATGTGCTCCACTTGAAAACTGATCGATAAATTTAGCCCCCTTTTGAAACCTGAGTTTGTTACATAAGCACAACTCCGTAACAGCCAGATTTCCAACCTCGCTCCCAGAGCTAACTTAACCCAATCCGTTAACTGCAGTAAACATTGGCTAGTGTGTCTTGAGATGTCCATTATGTTTTAGTTGCTGCTCCTCACGCCTCCTGCTTCTCCAGGCATGGTACTTTTTTATGCTTTTCCTCCAGGCAAAGCGCCAGATGCTTAGCATGAAACACCAAGACACAGCATACATAGCTATCCCCCCAGCCTTCATAAACCACTTGGGCTTGGGTGAGACTATTTCACAGAAAAGGAGGTGGGCTCCTAAGCCAATCCTCACTCCAGTGAACAGGGCCACAAAGAGGAAGTCCACCACATCTCCAGTGAAACTGTGGTAGTGCCCTGTTTCACGAAGAAACCAGCGCATCTGTAGCAAGGGGTTGGTAATCTCACTTCCAAAGAGGACTGCATTGACCTCTGTGCCTGACTCTCCAAGCACCAGGGCCATGATGATGCCTAAGATACTCAGCGTGTGGTGGGCCAGCATCAGGACACTCTCGGACTGGAAGTAGATGCACCAGCCCAAGTCAAAGATGAAGTAGCCCAAGGTGAGACACAGAACATACACTTGAAGAGGTGTATTGGGTGAGCCTGAAATAAACCAAGACAGAAACAAATTGAATGACTGAGGATTGTGCTGCTTTATACAGGGATCCTGTTATTGTCTCTCAAACCTTTTTAAAATATTGAAATAAAATGTAACGGTAATCACATGCTTTTTAAATGACAACCAAAGAAAGACTAAAATCTAAAACCTTGGTCTTTATCAAACCAAACAATGTTCCAGTCCCCAGAAATGCTGTTCCAATGAATCAGATCTCTCTCAATAAATGATTTAGGCACCAGCAATGATCTCAATATCCTCTCTCCGTAGCAGCATAAAATCAAGGTATTTTGTTCTTTCAATTAAAATCCTAGTTTTTTTTCTTTTTCTTTTTTTTTTTTTTTTACCAGCTAAAGTTCTGTTTCCAAAGCTTTTAGTTATCCTGTCCTGCATGTCATACTAATTTCATAATTTACTGAGTTAGACTGCTGGACAATGGTGACCCTAACCCATCTTAAAATTGGACTTCAGAAAGAACCCCAGAAATTAGGGTGTTCCATGTCCAAGAACATAGGGTGCAAGGATCTGACATGTTCAAATCCATTAAGAACCTTCAGATAAAACACAAAGCTTTAAGATGCTTTCATATCAGTTTGACAGTTAAGAGGGAAACTCAGAAGTTCAATATGGAAATCTAAGAAAATTTAAAGAATCTAAAGTATTTTTTAAAATCTTATTCTAGGGGACTTATGGACTGAATTATGTCACCCCAAAATGCTGTGTTGAAGCCCTAACCCCCAGAACCTGAGAATGTGACTGCATTTGGCTATAGGGCCTTTAAGGAGGTAACTAAGTTAAAATAGGGTCCTTACAGTGGGCCCTAATCCAATGTGGCCGGTGTCCTTATAAAACAAGATTAGGACAAAGACATGCACTAAAAAGGGGAGACCCTGGGAGGACCCAGCAAGAAGGCAGCCACCTGCAAAGGAGCAAAGCCTCAGAAGAAGCCAATCCAGCCAACACCTTGATCTTGAATTTCTAGCCTCCAAAACTGTGAAAAAAATAAATTTCTGTTGTTTAAGCTACCTAGTGTGTAGTATTTTCTGATGGCAGCCCCAACAAATAAAGCAAGGGGATACAATTTTTGCATTCTAAGAAAGTAACACTTGTAGTACAGCAGCTGAAAAGTTGATACAACTGCCCCAACTAACGAGGCATTGGTTAAATAAATGATGGTAAATGCGTACAATACAATATTACTTAATAATTAAAAAGAAAAAGGAAGATCTATACACATAAATGTGGAAAGATGGTGTCCTCTGAATACACAATCAAGTAAAAATTGCAAGTGACCCCAAAGCATGCGCAATGCTGTCCATTTCTGTCTGTCTGGGCGCTGTCAGATGTTGATATCAGCTTCGTTTCACACGTTTTGATGGGTTACATTATAACAAGCATTTAAAATTTGTTTTTGAGATAGAGGGTTATGAAAAGCAGACACAATAAGTGACATATACAATATCAGAGTTAAAAATGAGGACGGCCGATACACATCATCGTGGTGACTGTTTCAGTGTCTTCGACACTACAAACCGCAAGCCCCTCGGGGAGAAGCCCTGCCTCCGCCTACCTGGGTGGGTGAAGGGCCAGGGCCCGTCCACGAAGCCGACGTGGGCCGAGAGGCC